CATCACTTGTGTATATTTGTTATCCTCTCCACTACATATATTTGTGCAGTCCATTGTTACAGGTGGGCTGTCATTGGATGACTCTCTTGTGGAACCTTAGTACACCCATCTCAGGAATTCCAGTACCAGATCCAAATAGAGATGGAAATGTAGCTATCTTCTAATGTCTAGCCTGTTTTTATTTGCCAGAACACAGTCAATATTGCCCAGCCAGAGTGGTGGTGTGTCTATATCCAGTAGTGTTCTCATTGCTCCTTGCCAACCAACCCTGACAGAGCTGGGCTGAACACAAAACTCTTTGGGGCAAGAAATTCACTGTGCTCTCCCAAGCTCTCAGTATTCCATAAAGTTTGGCACAATGTCCACTGCTTTTTGTTTTTATCCTGGACCTGTTGTGCTATCAACCTGTACCAATAAACTTGCCTACTTTGCTACTCAGCATCGGACAGGTATTATGGGTTTGCTGCCATCTGCTGAGCCAGCAGCTTGAACCAGTAAATCTGCTATCATTACTGCTCAGCCTCATCAATGCAGAATTAAAACATATGTGTTACTTCTCCCATCATGCACAATATCTCAGCATTGTCTGTAGCATGTACACCATAGATATACTTGGATATCCCAGGCTCACTCATTAGAAACCAGTGTGGTTGCATTATGGTGCTGGGATGTGTATGTGGCTGGTTAAATGTAGTACAGGTCCAGCCAGTTGTAGTGGAAGTGCCTGAATAGGTTGATCTGAGGGCTATCTGCTTAAGCTGTCCACATAGACAGATAGTCCCTCTGTGCCAGTCCTCTTTGGAGCCTTGAACTTTGGCCATTGGGTTGCCTGTGAGCCAAGTCTGTGACTTATTTCATAAACAACTATCTTCCAGTCCTCTTACTGCTCGGCATCCAGGTGTTCAATGCTGTCCAAAGCAGGACTATCCAAAGATAGTATCAGCCATCGGACAGCCTTTTCCTGGCATTCCAAGCAGTTACTTACTTATTACGTTTCAGGAAATGGCTGGGGTCTCTCTTTGCTGTACCTCTGAACAATTTTAGTAAAATCTGCTTGGGCTCACTCACAGGAACCTATGGTGCTGGCTAAAGCCTCTTCCTTGCAGGTGAGATGTCACCAATATCATGGGCACTGGGTGATAGTTGTACTCAGGAATTGCCAATACTTAGATTAATAATTGTTCCCTAGCCCAAGGTCACAGAGTGCTGAGTTGCTTATGACAAGTCATTGTACAGTCTTCTGTGACCGTAAGTACCATGAGCCATGTTTGATGTCACAGGGTACCTCTCATCTTGGAGAGGCTCACTACTCCATAGTTCACAGTCTTTTCCCATTGAGTACCTGTTGTCTCATATACTGGAGAAACAGCTCTGACTGCTGAAGGCCATCTACCAGCAGCACATCCAGTCCTCAGCTGAATTGTTTCTGTAGAGACATGTAATCTGAATTCAAAACTCAGTTGGTTTTAAGCTTTGTGAGAAATAAACAGACGAGACACATTTGACAGAATGCAAAAACAATACAGGGTGATTTAAAAAAATTCTAACACTTACATGGATTTATATTTTTTATTTCCTATGTTTCATACATTCTCAACTTGCTCTCCACAAATATTTATGCATGTCAGAAAGTGGTCAAACACTGCAGGAGACCTTCCTGTTCTTGGACAACCACTGTTTCCTTTGTAATCATCTGCAACAGACCGATATGATGAACTTAGTGTACACTCAATAAATAGTCAACTTTGAAGGTGGGTCAGACTTGAAGTATCGACGAAACATCCTTTGTATGATTGTGGGAGGCTGATGACCTCCATCCAGGCTGCAACTTACCTTTTTTTTCTCTAAATTCAACCTTGTTGCCATCATCAAACCCCTGTAACAGAAAATCCCATATATGTGTTAAAATTTTTCGAATCACTCTGTATCAAGGACACCACAAAAAATATTGCTTCTACTGGATATGTGAATTGGTTGGCAGGCTCTATTTTTCAAGAAAGATCTCTGTTGAGTTAAATACTTAAATAGCCAAGTTGAAGTTTGTAAGTATAAAGGTTCCAATATTGCAAGATAGGTAATAATATTTATTTGTGATAGCATCACCATGTGACTGGTCATTCTTTTACAGCATTTGGTGGCTATAACATACAGTCATCACCCATTATGTCAGTGAAGAATGTTAAAGTCATTGACCCTATGAATTTTCAACGTTACAACAACATCCCCTCAAACACAGTAGATATTATCTTCTATAGAGAACAAAAGCAGCTAGAACAAAACAACCTCATTGGTTTTATGGACCATGTTTCTACATCAAAACTGCATAGAAAGAAACTAAATAAAAAATGTTAAAAATTTCTATATTAGTAAAGATGATGGAAAACTTGTGACATGGGCATCAAAGTAAGTCCCACATATGCCAGAGCTGTAGTGTGTTATTTTGAAGAGAAAATGTTTGAAACATACCACATTATTTCAGTAAAAATTATGTTAAATATATAAAACTATGATGGGAAAGGTACCTGGATGACTGTTGTGATTTGCATTCTCTCCTGTGACTAAGAAAACTTTGTTAAAATAATCAGTAGAATAAAATCCTGTTATCCAACTTACTAAAAAGAAAATGAAAATCAACTTCCCCTTTTAGATGTTTTAATTATATTAAAGAAGAAAACTGAATTTAGAGTTCTGTTAGTTTCAGTGGTCTGTATCCTTGTAACTTCTAAAGATTTTTAATGTTTCTAAGTGTGCATTGTCATATGGTTTATGATGGAGAAATGGATAATTAAAAACAAGCCAGCATCTTTACCTCTATGGAATCTAGATGGATGCTTCTCAGCCAGAGGGCAAAACTGCACCATTTAAGTAAAAATATATGTGTAAAATAAACTTGTAGTTGTTCTTCCACACAATTAAGAAAAAACTTCTTAGTTGAAATTTATTAAAGAAAAAATGTATACAATCACAAATCTTGACTTTGAATGGATTTCAGAGCACTCCAAGCAAAAAACAGTTATGTTTGTGAATTTACTGAGCAAAATGTGTCACTCGTAGCCCTGGGAGTAAATCAAAATAGCTTTGAACAAAATAGCATTAATGTGGCCATGTAACTTAAATACAAGTGTAATTTCATTGATTTCAGCCAATCACTGTTGCACAACCTTGATTGTCATAGAGTGATGTGATTGCTTTGAGAAGTCATTAGCTAGCAATTTAAACATGTAATGAAAGACCTTTTCAGTTCTTTTTAAGTATATAAGCCAGTATGGCTTTCAGTTCATCAGAGATTCATATAGAGATTGCAGCAAAGTGTAAAAGCTTAGCTTGATGATATGTTGCTGGAAGAGAACAGTTTACACCACAAATCAGTCCTGAGTTTTTTTTTTGAAAATTGCAAAAGGGTTGATCTATCATTTTATACTTCATTTGAATTATCATGTTGCAATATGATAGAAAAAGGTATAGTTTTTATGAAGAACATAAGGTAGACTTGGTTAATCCATTTTGCACTCCATGATTGCATCCACGATGCTGATTTTTATTTCACAAAGAACTGTGTTACATTAACGTATCAAGAGATCTTGCTTATTAATTTTTAAGATTCTGTTAATATTTTCATTTAAAAAATATCTTAAGCAAGCTAATCGATAACTTTTTTTCTATAATGTGCTCTGCAAAATATACTTAAGCATGTTTAACATAGTGATTCAGTCTTTAACATTTAGATTTTATCTTGTCCTGTTTTTGTGGTTTTCTATTATTATTTTGTAATTTAATATTCTGTTTTGTTCAAACTTTTGAGGTGAGGTTTTTTATTTATAGTGAACTAGCATATATACACTAGTACTTTGATTATCCATACTAGTCTGGAGAAGACAGAAAATTGTGGACAACCGAAATAGTGGATAATCAAGTGTATCTCACTAGTTAGCCCATTGTTTAATCTAAATAAAAATGCTTCAAAATATTTGAGTTCCTTGTTTTAATTTATAATCTTTTTTTACTGTTGTTTAATCACATTATGACGAAAAATTATAAAAGTCACCGCAATTGTAATCATTAAAGCCACGTGTTGGTCAGTCAGTTGGTTATGCTTGATTTCTCTGAATTTCATGAGTTACATGAGTCCAATTCCACTTTTTCTCATATAATACTTCCTCTTTTGGTTGCTTGTTCCAATTTTAGTTGAACTTAATCGTTAACATAGGCATAAATTTCTCGTATATTTTGTCACTTTTTCTTCAATAGATAGGGGAAGTGCATTCACACCCTTTCAATGTGTGTGAAAAATAAGTTGAAAACTAGCACAAATCTATGCTTGGGAATTATTACTAAAAAGCCTTTGTTAAAACAGACTAACGATACCAATTATCTATGAGGAAAATAATGACTTTGCCTCAGAAGAAGAGCAGGTGTGTTTGTAATCACATGGTCATTGTTTGTGGTTAAAGTATGCCTGCTATGCAGCAAAGAACAGCAGACGACAACTGAAATTGAGTGAAATGTTTAAAAAATCATAATGCGTATCTTGTGTGTTTTTTTGTATGTTTTAAATCACTGATCAAATAAAGTTAACCCAGTTACAAATATTCTGTGTTCCTGTCTTAACAGCTAAAAATAAAGGAAGCAAGGCTAGACTTGAACTGGCCTACTTATGATTTGAATGCATGCCAGATCCTGCACGTGAAAACCCCAGATATCATGCAACACCTGAACTTTTGCAACCAAAATTAATTTCTGAGTGACAATTTATCCAAAACATGTAAATTATTGTCTAGAACTGTAATAGCACAATTATTCTGAGAAAATTTGGGGGAAAGAAAAAAACTGTGGATAATCGTGGCACTACTGTATGCATTTTTTTATATTTCCACAGTATTATAATTTAACAAACTTAGGTCAATGATATGAGAGAATGTGTATAGGGTCATGTGTATTCATAATATAAGCAGATTATTTTAGCATTCAATAAGACAATCATATTTATTGTTTTCCTTTAGGTTCAGTTTTTGATCTTATATCTGAAGAGGACAAAGAGAAATTGAATGACATCAAAAATTTTACCAAGAAAAATGTTAAAGAATCATCAAGCTTATTTTCAAATTCTTTGGTAGCTAGTAATACAAGCTCAAACTTCAAACCTTATGCAAGTGACCCGGAAAAACAGCAGAGATATGATATGTACTTGGATTTAGTGAAGCAGGGGAAAAAAGGTAAAATTAAAGGTCTTGTTGTGCATTATGTATATAATAATCTTAATTAAGTGTAAAAACTGAGAACAAAGGTTAATAAACAAAACTTTTTCTTAAGATCAGTTGATGTAATGCAAATAAAAACACACACACACATATATATATATATATATACACTATAACTTTACAATCTTTTTAAGCTATGTCCCTTATTCATGTCAAGAAAAACATTCTTTTCCTTCCTTTCACCAATTCTGCACTTACCTACTGTCACTATTTGCTGTCTGTAAACATGTGCTAATCAAATTTTGTATGAAAACCTTTTACATGTAATCATGTCTCACACCATTAATTGACAGTTTATAGGCCAATCATCTTCCATCATGGAGTACTGTTTTCTATGTAATATCCACAATCTTGCATGGTCACACATTCTCCTTGCACTTCATGCAATTCATATGTTATTCTTCAGTGTTCTTTCTATACTAGTACTAAACTTTAAAATTGTTTTATTTTCTATACTTTATGTTCAATAATGAATTATGGATAAAATACACTTGAGGGAGAACCTAAAGGTTGAAACACACACTGTTGAATCTAACCAAGCATAAAGTCTTTCACATTCCATTCTTGATTGAGTTCAGCATTTCTTTGGTTCTTTGTTTAAGGGAACTTTCTTGATTTTCCCAATGATATTTATCAAAAAACAGTTTATTGGCTTTACTGAGGATGCTGAGTCTAAGGAAGGGTATTATGCTTTTCAAATAAACTATTATAGGGCTGGGGACATTACTGGACATTTCTTTATTATATATGATCACAGAATAAATTTCTTTCTTTTGCTATGAGCTAGCTGTGCCTTTGGTTACCACTCCTATCTCTGTTTTACTTACTTTACTAAATACAATATTCTACCTCAGACTGGATTCATTGTCATTTGAAGGATTCCTAGAGTTCTTTTTCAAATTTGGAGATTCCTTGTCTTTTTTCTTTTCTTTGGTAGACGTTCTAGATTCACATCCTTTTTATCAAGGATAATCTGCCTCAGTTCAACAATGAAACACTTTCAGATTTTTCATTCCTATGTGTGATGCTATGTTTTCTTGTCTGTACTACTAATTGTTATCTTCACTGAGCTTTGTTTTTAATAGCACAGCTACAAAGTCTGTTATGAGGTGTTTCTTTATCCTAGACTGTTTACTGAGAATCATGACTGGCTTCATTTGTTACATAACATTTTTGCTAATGCTCTCTAATGTGACAGAAACCAGAGCCATTGCTTTTTCATCATTATTCCTCATTCTTGAGTCTTTCTCAACCTTGGTGTCATTTTGGAACTACTTCATTATACCTAGGGGAGAAGTTTTAGTCTTTCTTCACTTTTGCCTATAGTATCTCCATCACATTTTAACCTTCATGGCAATTACTCAAGATTGCGTAAGTCTAAACATTTGTCTTTGTTATCCTGTGTATATCCTTCTAGTATACTCCCTCACTTGTCCACCACTATAGATCTATTTTACCCAACTATCTCCAAACTTTGTAACACAAATGTAATAATCATGTAAAAGAGAAAAATTATATTTCCTTCATCAGATAATGCTGCTCTCAACAGTTAATTCCCAACTTTGTCAAAATCAAGTTATCCAAAATCCTAAACCAGTTTACAGGTATTATCCAAAACATGCAATAAAAATTGTAAAAGCTACCCTGAATTCCAAATATCAAGAACTAAACTACTCACTAAAACATAAACAGGAATTAGACCACCAACTTTCCTTATACCTCAATCCAGATGAGTACAACAATATACAGTAGACCAGTGGTTTCCAACATTTTCTCCACCAAGGACCCTTTTTTTCATTTTTCCCCCCATGGACCCCATGTTTTTGAAAGATTTTGCCTACCCAACAAACTGTTTTTATTAACTAATAATTAACTCATTTTCCAACTTTTCACTATCAAATAAAAGACATATATAACTGAGTATGCAATTAAAAAAAACATCATTATTAAAAAACTTACTTGTTTAATGAGATGGTATAACCTATGTGGACCCCAGGTTGGGAACCACTGCAGTAGACCATTATCCAAAGTAACCCTGTGTTAAATCAAGAGAAGGAATTTGTACACACCAAAAAAGTGGAACAACTGAGGAAATTACAACAACAGGAAAGATGATACAGCAAGGAAGTGCAACCTGTTCTTGTTATGGACAGATCAGATCGACCACAAAACTACAACTTTTGAACAAAGGCTTCAACTTTGCCATCAGCCACAAGACAGTTCCTTGCCTAAAGACCAGCCTAGAAGATTTATCAAGAAGACTAGTGATTCACTTCAAAAAACAAAACAAATGGTTATCTCCAGCAGCCAACAAGAAGAAGAAATTCAGAACTCCAACCACCAGACTTTCATGATAGGCAATTATAATAAAATGTGTTTTCCTGAACTTCCCAAAAACTGCATCTTAAATAAATTTTTCAAAGAGTTTTCTAATAAGACCATTAATGTAGTTAATCAAATTCTTAAACTGAAGAATAATCTCACATGCAATGAGATAAAATACATTTACAATCTGAAAAAAAAGAAATTAAAATTCTGAAAGCTAACAAAGGCAACACTATTGTAATCGTGAACAACACTGAATAAATCGACAAAATGAATAAGATCCTTTCAGGCAATAAGAAATTTAAACTTGTCCCAAACAACCCAACAAACATGCATGAAAAACAACTAAACAAAACCCTGTCACAGCTGAAGAAAGATAACTTTATTACTGAAGATCTTTATTTTTATCTAAGTAAAACTGACTCGTACACATTACAACTGTATGACATTCCCAAACCACACAAACAGGACTGCCCCATACAACCTATACTATCAACTTTTGACTCTTTTTAACTATAATCTTGGTAAATACATAGACTTGGCCCTCACACCTTACATAACATCTGCAGGTTCCTTTTTTAAATATGTCTTCAGCTTCAGGAACACATTAAATCAACTAAGCCCTAAAGCTTTAATGGCTAGCTTTGATGTGTCATTTTTCCCATCAAGGAAGCTTGTAATATTACACTTGGTCTCTGCTGTAATGACCTCAGTTCTTTAATTCATATTCCCAATACATTTTTTGTTTCCCTCTTAAAATTCACAACAACAAAAACCAACTTCCTTTTCAACAACAAAAACTTTCTTCAAACAAATGGTTTAAGCATGGGCAACCATGTTTCACCTGTTCTTGCCAACATATTTATGACCCAGATCACAACACAAGCTATGCATTCAGCATACTTCCTCTATACTAGTACAGATATGTCTGACACTTTTGCTGGTTTCACTTCTTCTGAGTGCATACACACTTTCTTTGAACACATAAACTCCATTCACCCTAACATTAAATTCACCATTGAACATGAAAATAACAAACAGCTGTCTGTTCTTAACATTAACATTATTAGGTACGACACACAGTTCAAAACCAAAATGCACTGACACAGGCCTCTACATCTCCTGGAATTCTGCCCATGAATCCAAACTAAAAATTAATATACTAAAAACCTTATAGACACAGCTTCAAGGCTTTGCTCTGATAGATGAAAAAATCAACTTTATAAAGCATTCCTTCATTCATACAAATAAATTTCTACTAACTGTCATCAAACATTTCCACACAGCCACCAGAACAAAAACCTTAAAACTCAACTCACAAACGAAATTGACACTAATACACCAAACAACAACACAACAATACACTAGTTAACCATTTATCCCAGAAATCAGTTCAAAAATAATCAACATTTGGAGAAAAATTGCCATTAGCTCTTTCTACATGGGCTCAGTTGAATTGAATGACGATGTGACCACTTAAAACACGTTTAAAGTCATTATAGTATTGGTACTACTAACTTTTGATATAGTATGAGTACCTTCACAAAATTTGGCAGTCTTTCATATATGAAGAATCATATTTTTTTAATGAAGTATTTTTAAGAAACTAAAAAAGGATTTGTCTGTGAATATATTGAGTTTTTGTTGTTGATTTTTACTAGTACAAGTGCAAAGTAATTTTCATGTTGATATTAAAATTTAGCAGACGTTCAGAAAACATTAAAAGTTTTTCACATACAAAAAATCAGATGTGTCTGTGAATATATCAAGTTCTTTTGTTGTTGTTTTTTAGTTGTCCAAGTGCAAAGTGGTTTTCATGTTGAGATTAAAAATTCTTTTCTTCATCTCAAAAGTTTGAAATTTTCTATGCATAACCTCTAAAACCTCTTAAGTACATTTCAAATGTTTTTCTTCAGTAAAACTTTATATTTTATCTGTTATTTTCTCTACCCTAACTCTATACAAGACGAACCTCATAACCACCAAAAACAAATTGAAATAAATCTAAATTACCCTTTTTTTTTCTGTCCATAATGACTTCAAGTTGTAACATGAAACTATATTTCTTTATCCTAAACTCGTAACAGTATGCATCTATTTATACTTAAATTTGATTATTTTAATGACCTTTGAACCCATCTCTAACTACTGTTCTTGCCATTATAAGTTGTAACTCAATTGGGGAATGTAGAGCTCACGTTACGCTGTCAAATTACATTACCCACTAGCTGCTTGAGTGCATGCTTGATGAAACATTTTTGGTATATTATTATTTATTTTACCTAATCTAATCTTAGCTAACCTAAAGAGTTTCCTATTTTTACATTTTACTTACTTTTATAATAATAAATAAAGAATACACATGAAAAACAAGAAATAAAGTATACTTACCTGGGTCTTTTTTTTTTATTTGTTGATGACTGTCGACGAGTTCTAATCCTAATTTTTTTATACTAATGTTAGCAGTGCACTAAATAATTTTTATTTAATCAAATAATGCACCAAAGAACATAGAATAATAACATGCAAAAAGCAGACAAGAGCCTATACAAATTCATACAAGCTAGTCAACATATTTCCTGTGTGAACGAAGCTTGTACTAAAAGAGAAATTGACAATTCTATGTTCAGAATACATCACAGTATAGTATGTCATTTGATAGATGAAAAACTATAAATAACATAATATTAAATCTAAGAGAGAACTATTAACAAATCCTGAAAGAAAGGATATGACAGGTGGGTGTGGCAAAAGGGGTCTGATATTCTATTTGATAGCTCTGTAACCAAACAAGATTGAAGGGTATAAAAATTATGCTTTGTCTCAATGATGATGATTTTATAGTGAGTAATTTATGTTAATTTTGTACTTATTGGAGGAGTGGTGAATAAATTAGAGAAGAGGGGATGCCTAGAGAACAAATGTCACATTTTTCACACTAGGGGAGATTTAGGATTTTTTAATATTGCCTTATGAAATTAAGAACTTGAAATTTATATACTATGAAGATATAGATTATTAATTATGAGTTTATGCTATACTAATTGGTATAACATAAACAAAAAAGCTGTTAATTAAATTTTGGATGTAACCCACTAACAACCTTGTGACATGTGCAGTCAAAGAGGCCCGTGGTGAGAGGGTTAAAATGTTTGAATTTTTATTGAAAAGACTGATTTCCCTAGTATTTTCTTTGGTTTTTCATTTCTTCAGTTTCCTCCTCAAAAATGTCAAATTTTCTTAAAATGTGTGAATTTCCTAGAATGTGGAAGCCATGCATTGTCTATTTTTACAAAACACAAAATAGCAGATGTTTTTTTTTAAATATGACATTGCACAAAGTAATAAATAATCAAATTATGTACATATATAGAGACACACACAAAAATTAAAGACAAAGAAAATTTTTAAGAAATCATAAACAAATCCATACTTAAAACAAAGGAAAAAAACTTAATTTGTACAACTGAAAGTTGCAGGATGGACTGAAAAAGGCATAATTATATCGGTATGTGTAAGGGAGAATCTTACGTGAGATATTTTTATAGTATCTTATCTAATGTATCAAAGTTTCACTGTAGCTGATATGTGAGCAATATCTGGCATACTCACAAATCTATGGCTTACAAAATGCAACCTAAAAATTACATAGGAAAAGCAAACAAATATAAAATCTTAAATGGAGAAGCTATGGTGTGTGCCAACTTCATGCTAATGCTGGCTGTGACATCATCAAAACATCACACTTTTCTCGAGCCTGCAGGTATGCCACTGTCTGCAACATCCCCACTCTCCCCTAGTGGCAACTGAGTAGCACATATATATGTATAAATGGTTATTATCTTAGTTGTAAATATAATTTTTGCCTAATTTTTTTGTAGGTTAAAAATAATTAATAGGCTCAAAAGACACACAGTGAGACAATGCTCTTTTTTTCAGAATTCTTAATAATTATTTGTAAAACTTCACATCTCATTGGTTGAGAAATGGTGGTTTAAGATACCCAGTTTCATCTCATTCATAAATAACCAACTGGACCTTACTCTTTAAAAAATATTCCAAATATTTTCTCCTATTACTTCCTCTATCCTGTTGTGTTCATAGATGCATTTATTAGAGCTCTAATATAAGGTATTCTTCAAACTGGGATATGGAAATCCTTCATATTTTCACTAACCTTTATCATATCAAATTTATGGTGGAAGGCTATCAGCTTCTTCATCCATTGTTTGACCAGTATCATCATAATGGGTATTAATTGGGTGACTATATTTACTGTACCTCCTTGTCTGTTTTGAATTACAAATACCTCCTTGTACAATTTTATCCTCCTAGGAAACACTTTTTTTATGCTTCATACCTATCCAGTGTTTATTTCTGTTTCTTCTTAAGATTGTTTGTTTGATTGGCAGTAAGATCAGTGCTGGTGTATGCTAAACATTTTGGCCTAGTACTGCATTGAGAGTTGGCAAACCTATGAATTATTCAGATGAAATTTTGTATCTGGATACATCATTTGATCAGTGGAGATAGGCATTATTGATTTTAAAGATTATAGTTTTAAAAGAAACTTGTTCAATTTAGAAGGAAAAATTATATGCTATTTTTTTATATTTGTGACTTACCATTCTTGCTTGAGTATTAATTTGTTCAGTTTGACTACTGCCTAAGCATCAAGATACATTGAAAACATATTCTTTTTTCTTCTAACAAATTAAAACATGAAGTATATATTATATTTTCTATTTGTGTGTTTAAAATGGTTTCCTAAAAAAGATATTCTATTTTTGATTTAGAGTCTCTGGAACAATTTCAGCCAGCATCTATGACAGAATGGGAGAAACAAGGTGAAAAGGAAGAATTTCAGAGAGCAGTGATGTTATATAGCTCAGTCACAGGGTCATTAAATTCCCGATTTGTGTCATCTGTTCACCAAGAAAATAATAATGTGGAAGAACCTGTTGATAGAGAGGTATGTGTCATTGTGAACTTTCTTCATCATTTCTGAGTGATCCTATATGTTTTAAAAGTTATGTCAAACAGAAAGAAAAAATGTATTTATCTATGTGGCATGAGTAGAAATAACTCAGTATATTTTTGTAGAAACAGATTTCAATTTTGTTTTTTGTTCTGAATAAGGAAAATTATAGATGATATATACATAAAGCATTGGTATTCTGTTTTGAACCAAAAAAATTCATCACACAGTGTAAGTGTATTGTGCATTTATTGTACTGCCAAAACTCTGCCCTTATCATTGTTATGATTATAATGTAATATTAGGGGATAAATTTGCTTCACATATGATGTATGTATTAAAATCATTTGACTACTGAAACAATGTATAACAATTTTTTTTTTAATGGATACAGACAGGATGGAATTCTTGACCTCCCTCATATGAAGCTTGTGCTGTACCATATGGAGCAAAAATGACTTCCTCTGTTCTTCAATAAAACTACATACCACACTATTGCCTTCCAGAGTACGCTTATTTCCCCAAATCTGCATCAGACCAGGGGTAATGGAAAGCACTCAATCCATCTGCCCTGGCTTTACCAGTGCCCACTCTCAAGATGGTGTGTTTACAAGACCATTAAACATATTCTCATGATATTAAAATTACTCACTTGCCTGATCCAAGCTGTGTCTATCATAGACTATCAGGAAAAAAAAACAGCACCTTGGAAGTGACTGCCCATTTTTTGGCTTGCACATGCTGGCTTTTAAATATAGTGTTTCATGGTAACCCATTGCACATCTCCAGTAAACAACCTTTCTGACAGGTGTCAGATGGGGATCTAGGCAGATTTCTAGGTCTCCCCAACACAAGTTCTTCTCTCCATTTCTTCAAGTGGAGCACAAGAGACTTTTGCCACTTACCAGTTTCTAGACACTGGGGTGGTAGACCATGGAGAATTCATCACGGGTTGTGTACAGCACATTATAGTGGGAAGGACAGTGCTGGCATTGTATGTGTAGTGCAGGTCATCTATCAAATAGCTAATATTCCCTCCTCCTGCAGCAGGACAGGTTCATCATCTCTTTCTAGTTGAGTGAGGTCAGAGACATATTGTATGGTCTGATTGCACCCTAACCACTATACTTCTTGGCCCACCAAGCACTTGTGTATAGGTGCTCCGTTGGTCATGAAAAAATTTCTGCCTATCCCTACAACTCTTGGGGCTCGTTTGCCTTTCTCTCTTTCCTTCTGGGCGAAGAGTATACCCAGTTCGAGACAGGATGCAGTCTCCCACAGGTGTACTCCTATGGAGTCCCTGCCATCAGGCATCAAACATCATGGGTTTTTCCTTCTGGCATTTTCTGAAGGGAGCTCATCTAGGTTTAATCTTTCAATTAGCCCCTCTACCATTTCAGTGTGTGATCCTAGCTGTTCTGTATTGGAGTAAGGTACGATTTTGGAAATTAACATCTTCTTTGCCTGAAAATTTATTTCTGATAGATACATCTGCACACCTTCCCACATCTGTAGCACCTTCTTTTTGCATTGTCTAAGAATGAAGTTATTTCAAGTATAAGTGCTCAAGGAGTTTCTGTTGCCTTCCTATTGGTGAAGGGCTATTATCAAGGCTATGGACAAGGATGTAGACCAAGGCTATGATGAAAACAACCAGTTCCAATGTTATTTGTGATCTCTAAACAAAAAAATTGTAAAACGGAAATTAAGCAATAAACTGAAATTAAAAAATTTTGAGTAAACTTAAAAGTTGCTTTAAAACTAAGGCTTGGGTTAGAAATCATATTTCAAGAAGTGAAATCTGCAATCGTATTTAGAATAGTTTACCTTATTAGGTATTGATTAGAGCCAACTAGTAGTTTTTTTTTTCTGATTCCATTACTAGTGCTTTCAAGTTCACGGAATAGTCCCTTTCAGGGCTGGGATCAAAGGATCCAAAATTCCAAGGGGAAAATGTTGCTGTGGGGGGAAATGGGAGTACCCCAAGATAACCCACTTTTATGGCCAGAGTGCCAAATAAATTTGTCCTGGCTGTGCTTGGAAAGTGATAGATGTGGAGAAAAACAACAGTTATTAGAACCTGTATATTACATACAAAAACTTAAAGTAAACTTGAAGGATGAAAAGTTGAAGTTAAGCTCGGAAATTCTTCGTTGTAGTTGTCATTGGAGTCTGTGAATATGATGTCTGGGCATTCATAGCTTGACTTTCAAAACAGGAACTAAAGAGTGAATGTGGATGAAGCTTTGGTCTTGTAGGTGTAGGGTGACTGGGACTACTTGGTTGATGGTTGCAGGAACCTACGGAAGTCATTGGTGGGTTCTTCATCTTTCTGAAGTTTTCTATCTTTTTTTGGTGATGCGTGTTATTAAGATAGTTGGAAATTTATAATAGGTATAAAATGATGACTTTTTAAGGTTATGATATCAAGAAGTGCTAAAACCAACTGTCATCATATATTTTTTGTCTGTATATGTGTCTAAGTCACATTTTTATATCATCTGAAACTTGTAATTATTTTCTTTCACAAGATGTGTTTGCTGTAGAGCATCATAAAGACTATTAAGGCTAATTGCTACATTATATAGTGGGTAAATTCATTCTTTGTGTACAAAGTGTATTTAAACTTTAGGCCTAATTGTCTATTTTTAGACACCTGTTGTAGTTTGATTGGGATGTAATGGTATTGTGTTATTTATAAGCTATGTATAAGCAAAGTAATAACTTAATGTGTTTCATTGCCTGTTTGTTTATGTTACTGAAGTAATTGTCTTTAAAGTTAATGTTATAAACATTATAATTTTGTGCTCGTATAGAACAATTCACATTAATTGTTATTCAGTTTGCACTTGTATAAATGTAAAAGAATCACTGTACAATTAGCCAATAGGAATATTGTAGTTTTGTGTGAGATAGAACACATACACATGCAGACTGACTGATACACATTGTTGTTTTAATTACATAGATGTATGGAATGTTTGTTTCTGTTATAGTATTCTCAGATAAAACTGGAGTCATTGGGTTAGTTACTAAGACAGCAATGTCAGGAGGTTTCAGAAATTGTATGCAGATTGCATATAAGTCAATCTCAACCAAAAGAAGTAGATCCAACATAGTTTTTCTTCCTAGGAACAAGGAAACTTTATTTCAATATGAAAACAAAGGTGTATAAAAATTACTTGGCATAAATACTGTTTCTTGTCTGATATTCATCTTCTCTGTGAAACAGCAAATGCAAGGTGAATTATGACTGCATTATCGGACATCTGCTGTGTTATATTTTAACCATCTATATACTTTTAATCATCCACCTTAAATATGATGGTTGTCTTTATATATGGTTCCCACAGGTCATGGAAATCAGGAAAAGTCAGTCCCAGCCTGGGAGAAAAACTGGAAAAAGCCAATGAATTTGATATGTTTCATTGATGCTTCTAGGACAAAGATGTCAAAAAAATAAATTTTCAATAACACCAAAAAATTGCCTACAAGTTCATTCTGGCACATTTAGCACATTAACTCTTTCAACCCGGGCTCAGTCCCTGGGACTGACTTTGTAACCATTTTGTGCTTTTTATAGGCTTCATGCTATAACTTTTAAATTAGTAAGCGAATGTTAAAAAAATTTGGCAATTTGTCAGGAAACATTACAATGCTTTCATACACAAAATATCTAGTTTTTTTGTTAAGTCTTAAGGTTTGTAAAACAGTGTTTCTCTCATGCCTTTTTTCTTTTCACATCTTGCCTATCTATCATGCAAAGTAATTTTCATTTTAAGATTAAAAATACTTTTATGCATCACAAAATTTTGAAATTTCACATACGAAATCTTTATAATG